TTGGCAGTATCAAGTGATATGTACCCTCTCTAGTCATATGGCTGAGGGTATAAAAAACATGAAATGGGATGAATATATATACCGAGAGATATATCCAAGTCTGAACCGATCTATATAAAATTTAGTAGAGGTATTTCTATGCTGTATCTGATAGTTGGGTGGAAATATCGTTGTAGTGAGAACATTTTACGGGTGTGAGAGACTTAAATATAAAATCAGATGAAAAATATATATGGGAACTATAGTTATATCTTGACCGATTTGCACTTCTTCCAAAATCCATCCATTCGGTGTTATATTAGCAATTTGGTGCACAGAAGTTTCTATAGAAGTTTTAGAACTTTTTCTAAAGAAAATTATTTTTTGTTTTTTTTTTTTTCAATTCTATTTTATTTCTGTCGAATAAAATCGGGCGATTCTTTTTCACTTCTGATTCTTGAAAACGTTTTTTGATATTAATATAATTCCACATAAAAAATCCTTATTTCCACCGAATATTTAATTGAAAATAATTTTTCTCTTCAATTTCCATTCAATTCTGCTGTTCGCAATAATTTTATGCACAACAAAGAGCCATTTTCCAACAATCAAATATCGTTGATGATTTCTCATTTCGCACAGGTTCACCATGCGAGATATTATAAATGACTTACGTGACATGACTCCATCAGACGATGAAGTGTTCGTCGTTCTATCGTCCATGAGAGTTCAGAGTTTCATTTTTGTGAAATAAATTATTACTGAATTGACTTGACTCTTAATAAGGCTATCAATTTTACTCAGGAGCGCGGCAGCAAAGTGAATGTCAGTCATTGCATTGCATTGCATTAAGTGGACAAAAGGATTGCATCCAAAGGAGGAATGAATTTCAGCGAAAATGTATGGGAAAAATGCATGAATTAATGGAAAATCCATTTGTGGACAATGCATTTTTTTATTGTTGCACTCGAAAGTAAAATAATTTTAATAAGTTTATTATGCGTTCACTGAAATAAAGGGAAATAAATAAGAAAAAATGCAGGGAAGAAGTGGCTCATGGCAGAATGTGGTATAAAGGAAGAAGAAGATACTTTTCTAAAGGAGAAACCCTTTCAGAGGTGATTTGTACATACAATTACTCTTGGGACCATTCCATAGATAGAAGAACTTTCTGAGAGCCTCTAGGTAAGAGGGAATTCTAAATATGGGAGTTTAGTGGATTCGATTGGGAATATATTCTCAGATTCTTGGATCAGACATTTTTGATTAACAAAAAACAAAAAAAAAAAAAAAACTCAGGCTCTTGAATACGACTTTAACCAAAGTGTAAACTTGTACAAGGTGAGATAAAAAATTCAAACAAATTCAACCGCCACAATTTTTACATTTTTATACACTCCACCACATAGTGGTAAGGGCATTATGTCTTTGAGCGAGATAGACCCGAAGTTACTTTTGAGTATCTCCAAAGAATCACTTTCTGCGTTGATTTATACATGTCAGTCCGTCCCTGTATTCTTGTGAACAAAATGCAGGTCGCATTTATTATCCGATTGAGATGAAATTTTCCAAACAACATTTGTTTGGCCCAAGGACGAACCCTATTGAAATATGATAATGATAATCGGTCACAATTTAGATATAGCTCCCATATACAGGGTTGCCCATATTCGACGGACCCATGTTTTGTTATGCGACTTGTGTGCGGTGGAGCGCCGTCTTGTTGAAACAAGAACTGCCTCATACGCTTTCGACGAGTAATTGGCATCACAAAATTGGTCATCATGTCGCGATAACGCTCCTGATTGATGGTAACAGCATGGCCATTTTCATTTTGAAAGAAAAACGGCCCAATGACCGTTTTCGCACTAACGCCGCACCACTATTTCAAAGCGCTCGCGTGCCGTGTATTGGTTCATGGTAAAAATCTGCTTGGACTGACGCTTCAAATGCGGTATGCCATTAAGCGATGTGACATCTCTGTCAAAAGTTATGGCGTTGCCAGATGGGTCCGTCGAATATGGGCAACCCTGTATGTCTTCGTCCGATTTGCCGTTTATTGTGCACCAAACGTGTAATATCAGCCCGAATAGTATGGAATTCTGCAACCAAGCAACAACCAAATTAGGCCTGGAAATAAGTATGCCAAATTTGATCGAAATCGGTTCAGATATAGCTAAAGCTCCCATATATATTGTTCATCCGATTTGTTATTTTTGTCCTCCGCAGCCGTAATATGCACTCTGTAAAAACAATTTTTGGGGAAATGTATCAAATGCAGCTCAGAAATACCTTTGCTAAATTTTATCGAGATCGGTTCAGATTTGGATATAGCTCCCATATATAACTTCGTCCGATTTACCATTTATTGTGCACCGTCTAATATTTGTCCAAATGGGATGGAATTTGGCACATACGATCGAATTTAGTCTAGAAGGTAGTATGCCAAATTTGGTGAAGATCGGTTCAGATATAGCTATAGCTCCCATATATATTGTTCATCCGATTTGTTATATTTGTTACCCACAGCCGTAATATGCACTCCGTAACAACGATATTCAGGGAAATATATCAAATTAGGCCTGAACATAAGTATGCCAAATTCGATCGAAATCGTTTCAGATATAGCTATAGCTCCCATATATACTGTTCGTCCGATTCGTTTTATTTGTTACCCACAACCGTAATATGCACTCCGTAACAACGATATTCAGGGAAATATATGAAATACGCCTCAGAAATATCTTTGCCAAATTTTATCGAGATCGGTTCAGATTTGGATATAGCTCCAATATATATTTTTATCCGATTTCAAATTAATTGTGCACCAAATGGGCAATACAAGTCCGAATTTAAAATATACAAATGCCTCGGCATATTTAGTCTTTTGAACTTTAAATTATAATTATAATCATAGCGTGTATGATTGAATTCTCCCATAAAAACTTTTAACTGTTATGTTGAGCTCTACTAAATTAGCAAAGTGGTGTAGGGTATCATAAAGTCGGCCCCGCCCGTCTTTAAGACTTTTTTTACAGTTTTTTTTTTTTTTTTTTTTTTTGGAATGAAAGCAAAAATGTCAGAAATAGCATCAAAATTAGAATAAGTTTAGATTTGTTCGAATTGGTCACCTTTAGCACGAATTATGGCCTTCAAACGGCCAATGAAACCGTCACACGTTGCCCGAATGTTACTCTGCGGTATTTTGGCCCATTCCCGGCGAAGCGTTTGCTTGAGGTGATCGACACTTTGGTATTTTTTAGTGCCAACCTTGCTTTCCAAAACACTCCAGACCCAGTAGTCCAAGGGATTGGTATCCGGAGATTTTGGTGGCCATTGTGGAAATGAAGCGAGGAAACTCATTTTGTAACCATTCTTGGGTGGCGCGTGCTGAGTCCTGTTGGAATGTCCAAGGTCTGCGGCCAAAATGTTTGCGTACCCAAGGCTTTAATACACAATCCAGAATATTTTCGCGATAATATTCAGCATTTTTTCTGATGCCACGGTCGATTAATACGAGCGGAGAGCGACCATCGGCTGTTATGGCGGCCCACACCATCACCATGGTCGGCGCTTGAATTCTGCTAGCCAATCATGGGTGCGAAGTTACCCATTTTTAGCTGACCTCTTTGGCAAGTAAGCACGGTCATTTTGTTTGTTTACAAACTGCTGGACAACGAATGTTTTCTCATCGGAGCGGAGAAAACCAAATTCGGCAGTTCACCACTTTCAGCCATGCGAAACAACTCTTTAGCTCTTTTAAATCTATTTTCTTTCTGTTGCGGTGTAAGTTCTTGCACTTTTTGGAATTTCAATGGCTTTACACCGAGTTCATTTTTGAATGTTTGCCGAATGGAATATTGCGATATGTTCAGCGCACGAGTCATTTTTCGACCACTGCGACGCGGGTATCAAACCATTTCTGCTGATTTTGTTGTTTTCTTCCGTCCACTTCCTTGACGTCGGGCTACGTTACCAGTATCATGGAAACGAGCGGAGGTACGAGTCACAAAAGATTTATTCACATTTAAATGATGGAGGTCTCTAACGATAGCCACTTGTGGTTTTCAAGCCAAATATAAAGAAATCACACTATCCCGCTAGAATTCCATCACGAATAACTATTGTTCTGGAAAATTATTTTGTACGCTGGTAAACAATATAATGAGCTTTCACAGGAATAATTTTAACAGCTGTCGGACGAGTGGCTTAGAAATAACAGCAGTCTGAAGTTGGTTGCAGTTTTTTCATCATCTTCAACCGATTTCGGATTAATTGTGCGCCAAACGCCCAATATCAGTCCTAGTGACCTGAATTTTGGTACATCCGACCGAACTGAGTCTAGAAACTAGTTCATAACATTTGAAGAAAATCGGTTCATATAAAGCTATAGCTCCCATATATATGTTTCATCCGATTTGGTGTTTAAGTTCCTCATATTCGTAATATGCATTCGACATTAATGATAGTTGGTACAAGATATATTATAAAGCCCAGAAATACTTCTGCAAATTTTTATCGAGAACGACTAAGATTTGGATATAGCTCCTTAATCCGATTTCTGGTTTATTGTGCAAATAAAGGCTAATACCAAGCAAAATGGAGTGATTTTCGGGACGTACGTTTCCATTTTGTGGAACTCGGCTCCGACATATATTTTTGTAATACAAGCCTTCTCGAAGTGATATCATGCACTCGATTCAGAATTGGATATGCCTCGATTCAGAATTGGATATGCCTCCAATATATTTGTTCCCTCTGAAATTAAACTATAACTGCTCTGAAGCCAAATGTTGAAAGGTGGTATGATCTACTTCAAATAAATTATTTTGTTACGGGAGCTATACTAAATATGCGTAGTGGTGTAGGGCATCATATAGTCGGCCCCGCCCGACTTTTGACTTTTTCTTACTGGTTTATGTAGAAAAAGATCTCGGAATTTCACCAATTATTAAATTTGAGTAACTTATCTTCAGATCTCGAAATAATTTTCCACACATCCCGTTTTTTCTTATTTTCAGATGATGATTATGGCCAGAAGACTGTCTCTGTTTTGGTGGATGGTATTGAAACAGACTTGGAAATAATAGATCATCCAGCGTGTGAAATGTCGGTAAGTATGTGATTACCCAGCAAACAAATTATTACCAATTTCATATTATTATTATTATTTTCTCATCACATTTATCGGCTCATTATTAAAATGCTTAGCCTTATTTTTTTTCATTTCAAACACTCACATAAGTTGCAACCTACCTAGGTCAAGTTCGTACTTGGCCATTATCCATTAACAATAGCCAGTCGAAAGCCAGATAAAAGACAGGTGTAATTTGTGACAAGTAACAGCAAAGAATATCAGCAAAAAAAAAAAGTGATGGCACAGAAAGTGCCATCGATTTGACAAGTGACTGCAGGGTGCACTTGAAACACAGCATTGCCAAGTGTTGTGTGGCATATTTTTTCTAACTGTTCTTTGCATTGACAACTTTTGTTACCTTGCTGTCGATTATGATTATTATATATGAGAAAAGTTGGCCAACAGGAAAAGGGGTTTACCTTGCCACCTTTTGCGGGCAATTGTAGGGCACAGTGGGCTAAAGAGATATGGTCAAAATTGAAATAGAACAACTAAAATAGTATAAGTCGGTTTTGCCGATAGATGTATACCCGCAGGCTTGAGTTACGATTATTCTATCTGTTGACCCCTTTATGGGGGAGTTCCGAAGCGGTTGGCCAATATTGACCAATTCGTATCTGGCCAAAGACGGATAAAAATATTACAACGTGCCCGATTTGGGCTATATCGACTACTTCCTATACTTTCTATGAAATATGTGTAAATTTTTGGAAAATATGAGGTAAGAGATATAGCGAACCCAAGTATTCCACGTTCATACTTTATCTAATACAGATACAAATATTGGTATGTGAAAAATTTGAAGGAAATTGAATATAAGTATTGGAAATTGTGAGCCTTTGTGGGTGAGGTACCAGAACTGTTGGCAGATATCTATCAACTTTACAATAGTTTCTGCGTAAGCAAAAATGTTTGGATGCGTGAAATTTGAAGAGAGTTGGACAATTATTTCGCATTTTATTTTTCAAAAGTTTAAACCTATAGCAGGGGAAGTACCGAAAAGAGTTCGCCGATGTATACCATTTTAACAGCAGATATTGTGTTAATAAAAATAATGGCACGAGTGAAATCTTGCTGAGAGGCGGATGCTTATTTCTGATTTTATGATGGTTTGGGTTATTTGTGGGGGAGGTACCAGAAGGATTGGATCGATATATCCCATCTCCGCAGCAGATCTTGTGTTAGTTGAAATAGTGGGATGTGTGTAATATGACGAGAACCGGGTGTTTTTTGGATTTAATAATAGTTTTAGTTATTCGAAAGTTTCACACTTTGTGGGGGAGGTACAGAAAGAGTGGACCGAACATCATATTTTATAATAGTTATATTTATTGACCCTTTGTGGGGGAGGTACTTGATGGAGCGGACCGATATTGTCTATTTTCAGACCTGACCTAACACTGACGCAAATATTAGGATTTGCCAAGATGGAGCAAGACCGGATTATCCTTTCTCTTTCTGTGCAGTAAATCCATCCACCGGGTGGAGTGGACCAATAATGCCCATCTCCGAACAAGATCGAAGTTTGACAATAATATTACGATGTGCAGAGATTGAAAGATTGACTGAAGTCGGATACTCCCTTCGCGAGTTATCGTTCGCACCAGCCAGCCAGCCAGACGGATGGACAGAGAGACAGACATCGCTAGATCGATTCCAATTATCCTGAAACTGATTTGGTCCAAAGAGATCTGGGGTCTAAAACCGTTATTTCGAGGAGGCACGTTTGGGACGTATCAAATGATATATACCCTGTCTAGCGTTCTAACGTTCGGTCAGTGTCCTCCACCATAGAGAAAATAGAGCACAGGACCTGTCCTGTATGGTATAGAGGACCAGGTCCTCTGTCCCACAGATTTCAGGTCATCTATCCCATAGAGGACAGGTCCTCTATACCATAGAGGACAGGCTACTCTATACCATAGAGGACAGGCTACTCTATACCATAGAGGACAGGCTACTCTATACCATAGAGGACAGGCTACTCTATACCATAGAGGACAGGCTACTCTATACCATAGAGGACAGGCTACTCTATACCATAGAGGACAGGCTACTCTATACCATAGAGGACAGGCTACTCTATGCCATAGAGGACAGGCTACTCTATACGATGGAGGACAGGCTACTCTATACCATAGAGGACAGGCTACTCTATACCATAGAGGACAGGCTACTCTATACCATAGAGGACAGGCTACTCTATACCATAGAGGACAGGCTACTCTATACCATAGAGGACAGGCTACTCTATACCATAGAGGACAGGCTACTCTATACCATAGAGGACAGGCTACTCTATACCATAGAGGACAGGCTACTCTATACCATAGAGGACAGGCTACTCTATGCCATAGAGGACAGGCTACTCTATACGATGGAGGACAGGCTACTCTATACCATAGAGGACAGGCTACTCTATACCATAGAGGACAGGCTACTCTATACCATAGAGGACAGGCTACTCTATACCATAGAGGACAAGTCCTCTATACCATAGAGGACAGGTCCTCTATCCATGGAGGACAGGTCCTCTATCCATGGAGGACACGTCTCCAATCCATAGAGGACAGGTCCTCAATCCATGGAAGACACGTCCCCAATCCATAGAGGACATGTCCCCGATTCATAGAGGACACGTCCCCGATTCATAGGGGACAGGACCTCTATCCATAGATAGGTCCTCCAGTCATTCAGGACGGGTGATCTAGCCACAGAGCACAGATCCTCCAGCCATGTAGGGGACAGGTCCCTGGCCGCAGTGGACAGGTTCTCTAACCACAGAGGACAGCTGCTCTAGTGATAGACGTCCTCTATCCCCAGACAGAAGACCCAGGACTTGTATGGATAAAACACCCAGGTCTTGAATGGACCCACGTCTCTTCTATGGATAGAAGACCCACGTCTGTTCTATGGATAGAAGACCCAGGTCTTCTATGGATGGAAGATGCAGGTCTTCTATGGATGGAAGATGCAGGTCTTCTATGGATGGAAGACCCAGGACTTCTATTGATAAAATCTATAAAATCTATTCTATCCATAAAAGACCTGAGTCTTCTATCCATCGAAGCCCTGGGTCTTCTGTCCATAGAATATCTGGGTCTTTTATCCATAGGATACCTGGGTCTTCTATCCATAGAAGACCTGGGTCTATTATCCATAGAAGACCTGGGTTCTTCCATAGAAGTCCTGGACTTTTATTTAGGTCTTCTATGGATAGAATACGCAGGTCTCTTATGGATAGAAGACCCAGATTCTCCATGGATAGAAGGCTCAGGTCTTCTGTAGATAGAAGACCAAGGTCTTGTAGGAATGGAAGACCTAGGTCCTCTGTGGATAGAGGACGCCGGTCTTCCGTGGATAGAAGACCCATATCTTCTATGAATAAAAGGCTCAGGTCTTTTAATGGGTAGAAGACTCAGTTCTTCTATGGGTAGAAGATTTAGGACTTCTGTGGATACAGCATAGGTCTTCTATGGCTGGAAGAACCTTCTATGTTTTGAAGGGTTTTCTTGTATATATCTATGTTCTCCGTCCTTTGTCCACGGAGGCCCCTATCCATAGCAGATTAATTAACTGTTTACAAAAGTATCGTCCCCTAACCATAGCAGGCATAAGTAAATATTGTACTTGGGGATTCGAAAGGGTTATTATGTGTGGAAGATTCCTTTCTGCAACCTTGTGGGCACCCTCAAAAAGTTTTTCTATAAAATGGATGCCTTCCTTGCATTTATATGAGGTACTTCTTATCGCACTTCCTATTCCCTGATAACAATATTATTATTCTTGTTAATTGTATTACGAAATAATACTCAACAACATAATGTATTCTAAAAATACTGTGTCATTATCATCAACAACATTGGACAAATTCTCAAAATGTCCATTCAATATTAATAACATAATAACTAGGACACACACACTCCTCCCACACACACACACAATCACTTTAGAAGACCATTATTGTCAGCATGTCATCATTATAATCGCCAACATCCATAGCCATGGACAATGACATTGACATCTTTGTTGCTGTTGTTGCACTTGTTGTTTGTTATTATTAGTAGAAAATATTAATATTTTTTTTATGGCCAAGTCTACACAACAAGGCAATAACGAAGGCCGGCCATACGTAGCCTATTAAAGTTATGTGTTATGGCATATTTCATGTTTTTCGGTATAAACAACATTAATACAATGTGACATGGAGTAGACAATTTGCACTTGTATGAATTTGTGTGGAATAATTTGAATGTGATGCGGAGGCGGGACGTGGGCCTGGGGAGGGGGGAAATTAAAAAAAAAAGACAAGTAAAAATACATTAAATTCGGCCAGGCCGGTAGGAGAATAGTTGGAACCGGTATATGGGAGTCGTACTAAATCCATTATGAAGTAGAAATACCAAATTTCGTAATAGATTACAAAATGTGGTTAAATCGTTAAAATGCCGAATATTCGAGGGAACCGTTATGCGGATCTATATATCCAATGTTTTGCCACTGGAACTAGAATCCATTAGAAAAATTTGTGTAAACCATTAAAATACCAAATATCGAGGTATCGGTATACGGGGGCTATACGAAAACGTACACCCATATATAAAATGTTCCTCCCTCGGAGCTAGAACCCATTACGAACTACAAGTCATTTTTTTTAGACAAATGTGATATCATCAAAATAACGAATATTGGTAGGTACCCTTATATGGTGGCTACACGAAATCGTGGACCTATATATACAATGTTCAGCCACCGAAGCTAGAGCCCATAACGAACTACAAACACCAATTTTTAGCCAAATCCCTGGAAAAAAATATGGCTAAAACCATCAAAAAACCAAAGTCGGAAGGAACCGTTATATGGGGGCTATCCCAAAAAACAAACCATCCTAGACACAAAGCAAGCAAAGGTGCCAAATGTTGCAGCTCTACGTCAAATAATGTGAGCTGCTTCGTGATTTCAACAGACAGACAGATGGACAGACAGGCGTACAGAGGGACAAGCAGACGAACATCGTTAAATCGACTTAGAATTTTATGCTGATCTTAAAAATATATACTTTTGGGGTCCATGACGAATATTTAGAGGTGTTGCAAACGGAATGACTAATTTGATATACTCTCCTTTCCAAGGTGGAGGGTATAAAAATATTAACTAAAGAAAACTAAGTTCTAATATTCCCCTTATTTTAAATCTTGAGAAGGCGTTCACCTACATCCTTTATCGGAATTTTTAACGGGGACAAATGATACGCAAATTTTCCAAAACAGAAGTGAAGATTCCAAAATGTTTATATTTATATACCCTCCATCATACTATGCAGGGTATATTAACTTTGTCATTCCATTTGTAACTCCTCGAAATACTCATGTCAGACCCAAAAAAGTATATATATTCTTGATCAGTGTAAAATTCTAAGTCGATTTAACCATGTCCGTCTGTCTGCCTGTCTGTCTGTTGTAATCACGCTATCTTTCGAACGAATTGAGATAGAAGGCTAAAATTTGGCACACATGTTTATTTTGCCAGTAGGCAGGTTACGTTTGTAAATGGGCCATGTAGGTCCACGTTTTCACATAGCCCCCATATAACGGTACCTCCCGATATTCGGTATTTTGATGATTTTAGCGACATTATTAACAGGAATTGTTTCAAATTTGGTATTTGAAGTTCGAAATGGATACTACAGTCTAAGACAGAATATTGTCTATGCAGGTCCACGTTTTCGTATGGCCCCCATATATCAGTACCTCCCAAAATTCGGTATTTTGGTGATTTTAGCGTCACTATTCACCGGAATTGTTTCAAATTTGGCACTTGAAGTTGGAAATGGATACTACAGCCTAAGGCAGAAATATGCCTATGGTCCATATCTTCGTATAGCCACCATATAACGATACCTAACAATTTTCGGTATTTTGATGATTTTAGCGACATTATTCACCGGAATTGTTTCAAATTTGGCATTTGTACTTCGAAATGGAAGCTACAGCCTGTGACAGAAAATTGTCTATGCAGGTCCACGTTTTCTTATAGCCCCCATATAAAGGTACCTCCCTATTTTCGGTATTTTAATGATTTTATCGACATTATTCACCGGAATCGTTCCAACTTTGGTATTTGAAGTTCGAAATGGATACTACAGCCTAAGGCAGAAAATTGTCTATTCAGGTCCACGTCTTCTTATTACCACAAAATAAGGGTACCTCCCTATATTCGGTATTTTGATGATTTTAGATTCATTATTCACCGTAGTAGTTTCAAATTACGTATTCAGAGTTCATTATGGGACCTACAGTCTGTGACAGAAAATTGTCTATGCAGGTTCAGGTCTTCGTATTGGCCCCATATATCAGTACCTCCCTATTTTCGGTATTTTAATGATTTTAGCGACATTATTCACCGGAATCGTTCCAACTTTAGTATTTGAAGTTCGAAATGGATACTACAGCCTAAGGCAAAAAATTGTCTATGCAAGTTCACGTCTTCGTATAGCCACCATATAACAATACCTCCCGATATTCGGTACTTTGATGATTTTAGCGACATTATTCACCGGAATTGTTTCAAATTTGACATTTGAAGTTCAAAATGGATAGTCCAACCTGAGACAGAAAATTGTCTATGCAGGTCCACGTCTTCGTATGGCCCCCATATATCAGTACCTCCCAAAATTCGGTATTTTGGTGATTTTAGCGTCACTATTCACCGGAATTGTTTCAAATTACGAATTTAATGTTCGTAATGGAAGCTACAGTCTGTGACAGAAAATTTTCTATGCAGGTCCAGGTCTTCGTATAGTCACCATATAACGGTACCTCCCGATATTCGGTATTTTGAGGATTTTAGCCACATTATTCACCTGAATTGTTTCAAATTTTGTGTTTGAAGTTCGAAATGGATACTACAGCCTGCGACAGAAAAGTGTCTGTGCAAGTCCACGTCTTCGTATAGCCCCCATATAACGGTACCTCCCGATATTCGGTATTTTGAGGATTTTAGCCACATTATTCACCGGTATTGTTTCAAATTTGACGTTTGAAGTTCGAAATGGATACTACAGTCTTAGACAGAAAATTGTCTATGCAGATCCAGGTCTTCGTATAGGCCCCATATATCAATACCTCGCTATATTCGGTATTTTAACGATTTTAGGTACAATACTCAACGAAATTGTTTAAGATGTCGTATTTGAAGTTCGTAATGGAAGCTACAGCCTGTGACAGAAAATTGTCTATGCAGGTCCAGGTCTTCGCACAGCTCCGATATGACGGTACCTCCCTAAATACGAATTGTTGATGATTTTCGCTACATTATTCACCATTTATTTCAAGTTTCGAATTTGAATTTGGTAATGATTTATGACCAATAATGCCCATGTAGGTCCACGTCGTATAGACACCTATATTCGGTATTTTTAAAATGTTTGCGGAATTTTTTAAGGATTTTATTTCCAAATTCCTTGCAAATGGTGAAGGGTATTCCAAGTTCGGCCCGGCCGAACTTACTGCTTTTCTACTTGTTCTTGCTAATATTTTCTCATTCTAAATGACAAAATTTGAAATTTTCTTTCCAAAAGTTGTGCGCAGGATATGACATTGCATATGCCCCTTACCTACGACCCTGATTCGCCCGACTATAGTGTCCCATAATTATCTTCTTGTCTTTCTGCTTCAAAACAAAAGAACATCAACGACATGATAATCACATTTCCATTTTAATAGTTTTTAATAGGAAAATGTCCATATTTTCACATCATCTTCGTCATCGACATCTACTACTCATTGCCCTGGACACCATCTTTCCTTATTTGCCTATTTGTGTGTATGGGTGTGTGTGTTTGTGTTGGTGTTGATGTTAACAAAATTGTTGTCTTTAAATAATTGAATTCCTGTTTTGTTTATCATGTTTTCTTCATTTCATTTTCTTTCTCTTCTTTCCATCCTTCCGTCGAACAGGCCGAGGCCTTTTGTTCCACCTACAACATTGACTTGTTTGTTGTTGTTTATTCGGTGGTGGACCGCAATTCATTTAAACAAGCCGAAAGGATATTACAGTATCTCAAGGAGAATGAAATGCTGTTAACCAGAGGTGCCATACTGGTGGGCAATAAGACTGATTTGGAGCGACATCGAGAGGTGAATCGGCAGAGTAAGTAAATGTTTGTATATTTTAAACGAGGGGAAAATTGGTGGATAGTGTGTGGTATGAGTATTGCGAAATACGAAGAAGTTATATTACTCATACGCCTCCTGACATAGGGGCATGTTTTGACTTTAAGTGAAAAGTGGAATTTCTATATAAAACATGTTTTTATTCTAAATCAAATCATGGCTTTTAATACAGGGGCGTATGAGCAACATAATTTATTTGTGTCAAGCAATACTCATACCACCCCCTGTCCACCAATTTTCCCCCACGAATTCATTTAGGATAAAATGGGACTACATAGGCCACGTTTTGATTTAGGATGATATATGATGTATATTGAGGCACAATTTATGAAATATATAAGATCAAGTTCGATTTCGGGATCAAATATGAATTATGATGAGGTTGCGCTTTTATTTGAGTTGAAGTATGTGCATAGGGTTAGATTTGGTTTAAAATATGGACTACGTACAGGGCCACGCATGAATTGGATGATTTCATTTTGACTTTTTAAAAGATAAACTTTGATTTCAGAACTAAATATAGGCTATAAATTACCACATTTTGAATTGGGATTTGGGACGCTAGGTAGATCTATATAAATATAGGGTCATGTTTTCATTTGAAAAATTTAATATGGACTGCCTGCATAAGGCCATATTTTGAATGGATTAAATATTAAATGGATTAAATATCTATAACAATAAAAGAGTAAAGTAACCATCAACGCCCAGACGAAACGGCCGAAGCTAGAATATTGAAATTTTCGGTCCACTCCTGATCCAAAGGGTTCAGATAAGGCTGGGTTTTCATATTAGAACGATAGGAAAAGTATTAAAAATTACTAAATATGATACCCTTTGTATTTAAGTTAGAGCTAGAACTTTTTTAAATTCGGAATGAGCGTCAATGAGGGAGTGTATGATAGATGTACTCAAGGGTTTTTGGAAATTCGCACCATAAATGCAGGGTGAGATAAAAAAACTGCAACAAAGTCAAACGCCATAATTTTTATTTGTCCGAATTTGTCACCTTTAGCACGAATTATGGCCTTCAAACGGCCAATGAAACCGTCACACGCAGCCCTAATGTTGTTCTGCGGTATCTTGGCCCATTCCCTGCGAAGCGGTTGCTTGAGGTGATCGACTCTTTGGCATTGTTTAGTGCCAACCTTTGTAACGTGGGTTTCTCCACAAGGACCCACTAAACCTTATGAAATAATAAGAGTAGATTTCTCCCTTTCCTGTGAATTACAATCTACTCGGGTTGAAATACGATAAGATAAATATTGAATATAGGATGGCAAATAGACTTCGGAGGTGTTCGTGAATTCAAAGTAATGAGTTATAATTGATAATCGGGATTCGATGTTTACTCGTATCCTAGGCAAGAGGGTGTACGACTCGTGATCAATCGGAAATGATGATGTCGGGTTAAAGAAGATCATAAAGAAGCGATCGGGTGACGATTCGAAGATAATCGGGAACTTGTGGTCGTCGGTTGTCGACGATCAGGAATTACGATGTTTGTGTTCGGGTGATCAGGGTTGTTGACGATTTGAAGGTAATCGGGAACTTATGGTCGTCGGTTGTCGACGATCAGGAATTACGATGTTGGTGTTCGGATGATGAGGGTTGTTGACGATTTGAAGGTAATCGGGAACTTATGGTCGTTGACGATTTGAAGGTAATCGGGAACTTGTGGTCGTTGGTTGTCGACGTGTGTTCGGGTGATCAGGGTTGTTGACGATTTGAAGGTAATCGGGAGCAGCTGTCCAGGTCTTCGTGAGCGGATTGACATTCGTACTGGTTCGGCAGCTCGTTGGGGGTGGATTCCGCAACCGATGCGTTAGGCTTGGTAGATGGATCGGGGCTCGTTCGGGTTCGACAGCTTGGGTTTTTGTTATTCGGGTGGCTACAGGGGCGAGGTAACTAGCTTAGCTACGATTCTATAACTACGTGTACTCCACTACCAACGTTCGACTATAATACGGAACAGCGAACCGAAGCTCCTGTGGAACAGCAAACCGAAGTTCCTGTGGAACAGCGAGCCGAAGCTCCTGTGGAACAGCGAACCGAAGTTCCTGTGGAACAGCGAACCGAAACTCCTGTGGAACAGCGAGCCGAAACACCTATGTTAATGAATTACCAGCCACTCAACTTAATGCGAGCCAGTCTTGAAAAAAGTATTCCCGACTAACGCTTTTGTTAGTCGGAGGACGGCCGATGATCTTTAGAAAATCACTAGCAACCCTTTGGCAAGCTCCTGCAGTAGCAAGCCTATCTCATCACACCGCAAACCGAAAACTATATGTGACCGGTCCTACCAAGTCATTGCGAATTTCGAAGCATAAGGCAAATATGCTGTGAACGGCATACCACCGAAATATAATTTGTTCACTACGCGCCCAACGAATGCTATGGTTGTTGGTTGGTGCTGTTGTCGCCTTGTGTGCTGCCTATGGCCGTGTTGTGTGAACGTAGTGGTGGTGGTTGGTTGGTGCTTTTGGCGTCGCACTCTTTGTATTCTTGCAGTGGTCATTGTTGTTGTTATTATTGTGCAATAGGTATTTTAATGCCAAGGTCGATTAATACGAGCGAAGAGCGACAATCGGCTGTTATGGCGGCCCACACCATCACTATGGCCAGTGCTTGAGTTCTGGTGGCCAACCGAAGGTGTACATTTTCAGCTGACCTCTTTGGCAAGTAAACACGATAATTAGGTTTGTTTCAAACTGCTGGACAACGAATTTTTTCTCATCGGAGACGGAGAAAACCAAATTCGGCAGTTCACCACTTTCGGCCAAGCGAAGCAACTCTTTAGCTCTTTTGAGCCTATTTGCTTTCTGTTGCGGTGTCAGTTCTTGCACATTTTGGAATTTCAACGGCTTATCTCCGATCTCATTTTTCAATATTTGCCGAATGAAATATTGCGACAAGTTCAGTTGTGTATGACCCTTTTAGTACCAGACCTTAGGCAGAGATTCGTTCTAAAAAGTACTAAAAGCTGGGTTTATGATACTAAATTCTATACTTTAGAGATAGAATCTTGAAACTTCGCATTTAGGCTAGCATTGTAACGAAGTATCGAAGTTTATGGGCTTTAATTTTTTATAAAGGACCACATGTTTACTTAACTTATTCCTAATTCCGACATTTTTCTTCTTTTCCCCGTTTTCAGTGGGTCGCAAAGTGGCCAAGGATATTGCCTGCAAATTCATTGAAACCTCCTCGGGGCTGGATCACAACGTTGACGAGCTGCTGGTAGGCATTGTGGCCCAAGTGAAATTAAATCCCCAGCGTTTGCGTAATCTCAGTGAAAAAGATCGCCAGCGGCTAAATCTACAAAATGCAATTCAGAAACATCGACGCCTCTATGCCCCGCCACGAAGGATGGTCAGGCAAATGTCTATGTGTCAGGCCGAGGATGAAGATGAGGATACGGGCCAAGATGAAAATCAATCGAATAACATTATGGGTGACGAAGGCATCGGTACGGGAAGTGAAAGGACGGCAAGTACAAGCCTTTCATCGGCCAGTACCACAAAAACAGGCCCAGTGAGGAAACCCAATAAACGCACCCTAAATTTGGAGAGCATCTTGAAAATGGGTGAAAGTGAACTGGAGGATGAGGAGGAGGCACAACGTATGGCAGCATCAGCGAATTATGGTTATCCAAAGCCGTTAAGTAAATTTGAGCTGCTAACTGGAGGCGGGGGAGCGGGTATGGGCAATAAATCGGGTAATGTACGCACACCTTTCGGCAGTGTCAATTCATCGCCGAAATCTCGTAAATCATATGACAGCAGTTCGGGTATTGGAAGCTCCAAGGGCATGAGTCATGATACGGCCCAACATTATGGCGAAACACAGGCGGAGGATTCATTGCTCAACGATTGTAATCGCAAAACGGTTTCAAAACTCACCAGCCGAACCAAGGTGTTTTTGTCGTCCGTACTGCGCTTCAAGAAGGCCATCAATGTGGCCAAGCGACGCAACTCGTCCAGTTGTAGTGATTTGTTTGTTATTTAAGAGGAAATGAAATAAGGAGGATAGAGAATAAGGTGTAAGGAGATAAAACGAATGGCTTGTCAACGAAAGCAGCGAAGGGAAAAAACGAAAATTAGGAATTCAGATTTCTTGATCAAATCATGGTGTAAATATTTACAAATTATTGTTGTTTGTTTTGAATATTATTATTAAGTTTAGGTGATTCATTAATTTGTTGGTCAAGACAATAACAAAGACTTTATTAACGCCCCCTAAAAGTTATATATTCATATATATGTAGGAAGGCCTCACCTCACACACCCACAACTATGTAAAAAATATGGTTTCATTAATGGCCCAATTTTCTTTAAATATAAGCACACAATCAAATATCTTACTTGAAATCCAATGAAAAAATTTTAAATTTTATTTTAATTGTATTTTGTTTAAAAATATATATTCGAAAAATGTGAGTAAATCAAACAATGAACCCATAAAAAAATATTTTAAAAATCATTACTGATGATTTTTGGCCCGATATCAAACTGGGAGGTATTTTACAAAAATTCATAAATATTAGAAATAAAACTGTTGATCGAATTCAAAACACAATGGAAAATATGAAGTTCATCAGACAAATTTGAAAAGAACCCAAAAAAAACCAGTAAAGAAAGTCTTCAAATCGGGCGGGGCCGACTTTATGATACCCTACACCACTTTGCTAATTTAGTAGAGCATGGGAAAATTCAATCATACTCGCTATGATTATAATTATAATTTAAAGTTCAAAGGACTAAATATGCCGAAGCATTTGTATCTTTTAAATTCGGAGTTGTATTAATTTGAAATCAGATAAAAATATATGTGGGAGCTATATCCAAATCTGAACCGATCTCGATAAAATTTGGCACAGATATTTCTGAGCTGTATTTGATATATTTCCCTGAATATCGTTGTTACGGAGTGCATATTATGGCTGTTGGTAACAAATATGACTAATCGGATGAACAGTATATATGGAAGCTATAGCTATATCTGAACCGATCTTCACCAAATTTGACACACTAGCTTCTAGATTCAATTCGGTCGTAAGTGTCAAATTCCATCCCATTTGGACAAATATTAGACGTTTGGTGCACAATAAAAGGCAAATCGGACGAAGTTATATATTGGAGCTATATCCAAATCTGAACCGATCTTGCTAAAATTTAGCAAACGTATTTCTGAGCTGTATTTGATATATTTACCCAAATATTGTTGTTGTAGAGTGCATATTACGGCGGCGGTGGACAAAAATAACAAATCGGATGAACAATATATATGGGAGCTATAGCTATATCTGAACCGATTTCGATACATACATATTGGCATACATATTTTCAGGCCTAATTTGGGTGTATGTGCAAAATTCCATACAATTCGGGCTGATATTACACGTTTGGTGCACAATCAAATGCAAATCGGATGAAGATATATATGGGAGCTATATCTAAATTTTGACCGATTATCTCCAATTTCAATAGGGTTCGTCCTTGGGCCAAGCAAATGATCTGTGCAAAATTTGATCTGGGTAGAGCAATAAATGCGAACTGTACTTTGTTTACAAAAATACATGGACAGACGGACTGACGGACGGACATACATAAATCGACTCAGAATGTGACTCTATGCAGATCATCAAAAGGAATGGGTCTAGGCAAAAGGAAACGGCCTGTTACAAACAAATGCACAAAGACATAATACCCTGACCACCTTATGGTGTAGGGTATAAAAAGTATGGCTAATAAATATAAAATCGGATAAAACGTAACAGATGTTCCATACTTGGCAAATTTTGTTCTTGTCGAACCTTCCACATAATTATGGGGAAATATATATCTGAGCCGTGAGATATATTTTTAGTGTAAAATAAACCCGAAATTGGATGAAGATATGTATTGGAGAGAGAGAGAAAGGTTAACCCGATTTTGCACCAACTTTTCAAATTCGAATATTTAAATCAGTTCTAGGTCAGTTGAGAAAATGAAAAATATCGATTCACTTCAGTAAGTACCTCACCCACAAACGTCCAAAATTTTGAATAATTATAACTCTTATAAAATGTGATATAAGATTCCGATTATCTCCAAATAACATACACCACAATATGTTTTTTAATACAAAGTCTGGTGTGAAGATGTTATATATCGGTCCACCCTTTGTGGTACATGCCCCACAAAGGGTCAACATTTTGAATATCTATGAAGCTCATAAGACACAAACTTAACATGTGATTCCATTTAGACTTGGCACAGCTCAATATTTCTATCGACACAAGATCAATCATAAAAATGGTAGAGATCAGATCATTCCTCCTGGTACCTCCCCCACAAAGGGTCAACGTTTCGAATAACCAAAACGATTATCAAATCCAAAATAAGCATCCGCTACTCTTCAAATTTCACACATGCCACTATTTTTACTAACATAAGAACTGCTGTGAGAATGAGATATATCGATGCACATTTTCTGGTACTTCTATCACAAAGTGTTACAAAAACGCTCAAAAAAGCGAAATAGAGCAGGTATCCTGAAATTTGGAAATAAAATTACTCTCGGAGTTTTGGAAATGTTTACTTATATGTACTAAAATGTACTACATTTGGAATTGAGAGTACAGTTGGAGTGTACGATTGGGGTAATTAGGAGGCTTTAGTAATTCGTTCTTATGTGTACTAAATGGTACAAAATAGAATTATGATGAACCGATTGAGCTGGAATTCTGAAATTTGGAATGAGAGTCACTGATGGAGTGCAGGACAGAAGCACCAAAGGGTTATGGGAAATTCAAACTTAAAATTTAGGAAGTAGTAGTAAAATGTTACTGAACGAATACTGCTGACCTTTTGACATTTAGTATTGGGGCCTCTGTTTTTAGTAGGTTTGTAATAAAGAGGGGGTTTTAGAAATGTGTGGTAAAAGTGCACGAAAAGTACTAAATAGTACTATGTTTGGTACAATTTGAAATTTTTTTTACTCGAAATTGGATGCTGTTCACATGTGACCTGAACATGTGGAGGTGGTTTGGAAATGTGTAATATATTGGTACGAAAAGTACTAAATATTACTAAATTTGGTATTGCGTGAAGGAGACAGAGATGGAATCCTGAAATTTGATATTAAGGTATTTATTAGTGTTTGTCGTAAAGAAGTGGAGGTGGCCTCGGAAATGTGTACTATCATTGTTCGAACGTAAATTCGAAATGGTACTAAATTTAGGTATTAGGTAAAAGTATAGAGCTGTAATCCCAAAATTTGATATTGTGACCTCTGCTGGTATTGGATATTGAGATCCGGTTATGGTTTTGGGAATACATGCTATAATTGTTCGAAAAGTACTAAATGGTACTAATTTTGAGTTACTTTTGGTGTTTAGGATAGAAGATGTACTATCCTAAACACCAAAAGCCGGCCGAACTTTGAATACCCTCTACAATTTGGAACGAATTTGGCAATTTTCAAAAAAAAAAAAAATAATAAAATAAAATCCGTTTAAAATTCCGTTAAATCTTAAAAATACCAAAGGTCATTTTAGGGTCTAAACGACGATGTGAACCTGCATAGGCAACTTTTGTCATAAGCCATTACAATATTCAAATGCGAAACTTGAAAACAAATCGATAAATAATGTAGCTAAAATCATCCATATAGGGAGGTACTATTATATGTGAGCTATATCAAAATGTGGACCTGCACAGACAATTTTCTGCCTTAGGCAGCAGTATCCATTACGAACTTCAAATACCAAATTCTAAACAATTCCGATGAACAATGTCGCTAAAATCATCAAAATACCGAATATCGGGAGGTACCGTTATATGGGGGCTATACAAAGACGTGGACCTGCACAGACAATCTCCTGTTTTATGCTTCAGTATCCATTACGAACTTCAAGTACAAAATAAATAATTCCGGTTAATAATATCGAAAACATCATCAAACTAACGAATATGAGGAGGTGACGTTATATGGGGCTATACGAAGGCGTGGACCTACAGGGCCCATTTATATCCCATAATACCAAAAGTCCTTCAGATATAATATACATTTGAGTAAGATTTTATCAATCTACTTCATTTCGTTCAAAAGCTAGACGGATAGACGGACAGACAGACGGATAGTGCTAATTTGTCTTAGAATTGAACGCTGCTCCGGAATAAATATACTTCGTAGGGTTTATTATGCATATTTCGAGGTGTTACAAACGGAATGACAAACTCAATATACCCCTTCATACTATAGTGGGGGGTATAAAACGGCCAATAACGAATCTAAAGTTTTAAGCTGAACTCTTCGCTGACGAAGTAGCGGCCACTTGATAGTATTATATAAATTTTTGACAAAAATAGAATTATGACCACCCACCGATACATTCTAATATTCTTCTTCTAAATGTGAGATTTTGACATTTTTCATTATACGTTTTGAACAATGAAGGACCGATTTTTACCCTTGCTTGAATGTAATAAATTTGAATACAATGGGATATCAGTTTCAATATAGTCCAATTCTGACCTATATCCCATATTTATTTAGGATTTTACAAGATTTGCTATGATTCGAAAATTTTAAATTTCGTGGAAAGGAAGCAATAGGAGTAATTCTGACTTAAGTCATATCTATATATATGACTATGATATATAATATTTGTATTTATTGTATTTGTTCAAACTGATATTGTAAATCTCCGAACAAGATTATTATTATTATTATTTAAATATTTCGATTTTATTATTTAACTTTTATTTTATTTATTTTCATTTCAAATATTTTCGACCTTGATACTATTTTTCAGAAAACATCAATTAGAAATGTTACAAAATATTTTTCTTGTTAACTATTATCAATACAACTTGGACAACAATTAATCAAAACAAAAATTCTCTTCAAAAAAGAACCAAATATACCGAAAAAAAATTCATCTCAAACTAAAAACTAAAAATGATTACAACAAAAAGTAAAATAACACAAATGTGTCATGGCACAGAAAATAATGAACTTGAACCAAAGCAAAATAACAATTAATAATAAAAAAAGTCTGCACACAAAACAATCATTAACAAGAAAACGAAGCGAAAGAAAGAAGGCCACTAAAAAGGATAATTATGACCACTTTTGCTGTTGTTGTTGTTGCTGTACAAACAATAGAACAACATATCAAGCACAAGAAGGAAATAAAGATGAATGAATGATAAAAATGAAAAAAAAAAACATAAAGCCCGAGCAATGATTGCAACTAAGGGAACTAAATGAGCGGTAAAGTGAAATGAAAATATGCCACAACAAAAAAATTAAAATAACAATAGATATGAAATACACTGGTCCAAATGTATGTGTGTGTGTCTCATACCACAATAACCAATACCAAAAACAAAAAGTAAAAAAAAAC